ACAGAGAATCAGCTAAGCACAAAAGTATCTGTCAGCCGTCATTTTTTGGGAGGTGGTACTTTGGTTTTGGTGTACTTCATTATTCTATTTATAGATTCTAAAGAAATTAAGTCTTATCTTCAAATGTAATTAGCACAGAAGTAGTGGAAAATGGAATTTTCAAAGCAGCCCAAGGAAACTGAGGTCACAGTTCTTAGTAGTCAGGAAAATAATATACTGAGTCCCAGTCCCAGCCTTGAATGTGCCAGTACCAAGGGTCTGAATTGGGAGCATTGACACGGGTTTGTTATGAGCTATATAGCCAGCTGATGATGTTTCTGCAATACTAAGTTGTCTCATAAATTGAAATTTCATATCGAATTCTGTTTGTTATGAGAAAGAATGCGTTTTCTACCTTCTGCAGAGGCGCAGTTGTTGGAGTTTTTTGGGTTGTTTTGTTGTTTATTTTTTTCCCTGAACAGCGTTATGGGCCAAATGCTCAGTCCTTTTATGTCAAAGGTGATGTTTGATTTAAATGAGACCAGAATGCATGGGTATGTGCTAAATCAGATATTTTCAAATGTGTGCCATTTGAGATTGCAGAAGAAAAAACATGCTCATAAATATTTGTGATTTCTTTGAAGTCAGAGTGTGTTTCTCTCTGTGAGTCTATTTATAGCTTCAGGATAAGAAATTCTTAGGCTTAGTGGCAGGAACTGATGAGTGAAACTTTCACATACCCAGAAGAAAAACATGAGTTGTAATTTTCTCTTTCTTCAGACTAAAGAAAATTCATGAGTCTTGTAGCTGGGATATAAAATTAATCCTGCTTACTTAGGAGACCCTTAATCACAATGCAGTTTTCCATTTTGAACCATGGTATCTGTAGTACTCAAAGAAGTCAGTTCTCACAGAATATTTTTTCGTCTGTCTTTGTCTCTTGTTAAAACAGACCTTTGATTTTGCCAGTGACTGAGATTAGATTGCAATGCAATATTTTTATATTTTTAGTTTTTATTCTGTTGCTATATTAAGACCAGAATCACAAATGGATTCTTTTGAATCCTGAAGTGTTCCCTTTTATTTTTTTTGCTGTTGGGAGTCCAGTTCCGTACAATATCAGCAATCAACTTCTATACCAAAGCCAAGCAGTAACAGTTGCAATAATGAATATTTGTTGTGGGCCACTGGTGTGAAAATAGCACAGTGCTGCAAGCCTGCGTCACCAGAAACAAATCTTCCATTTGACTGTGGCTGAATTTCCAGCTCAATTTTAGGACATTGATAATTGAAGTAGCTCTTAGAGCACTGTAATAATATAGTGTTAAGAAATGCTGATTCAGTCTACAAGGCATGAACTCAAATGCCTTCCTACTTCTTTTTGGTGTTGTTTTTCCTTGTTTGTTTTTTAATCCCTTATACCTTTTATGCTGTACTCTGTATTTAGGGCACTGAACTCCGGACAGGCAGCAACTCTGTAAAATATTCAAAGGGACCCATGCTGGTTAGGTTAGAAGTGCTTGTGAAAAAAGGAATTGAATTGCTTCTTTGTAAGCTTACTTGACAGCTTTTAGAATGTTTTATCCTTAATCTCTGCTGAAAATTATAAAGTTTATATGAAGATGAGCAGCTTTGCATCTTTAAACGTGTCATGGCTTTTAGATGGTGAACTTCAATGGCTTTCTATTTATGTTTTAATGTGGTTAATGTATTTGCATTAGTAGAATATAAAGTGTAATCATATAGGGCACCTCTTAAAAATGCAGAATATATGCGCTGAACTTTGATTTTTTTTGAGATGAAAAATATGACCTTTACCATTTTTAATTTTTATATACTATGCTGCTTTCATTCATGCATCTCAAAATATCCTCAAAATATTCAAAACAGCTAGCATAATTTATTGTATTTTCTTTTCACTTTTAAATAATAACATAGTGAAATATTAGGTCAGCATAGATACAGAAGGTCAGACACTTGAAGCAGAATAAATTCTGCTGTTATTTCAGCTTTTTATTGTTTTATTTTATTCACTGCCTCAGGTTTTCCTAAGGAAATAAAGAAATTGTCATCTATATTTTGCTGAGGGCTAAATACTGACCCTTACACTGCAAAGCTGGCAGTGGTGATTGATGTACATTTCTAATTTCCTGCAAGATTAGAATGAGCACCAACCTTGCCATCAATCCTGAGAGGATGTTAATGTCCCTTTCCCTTGCCTGGGCCATCTGCCCCTTGCCTTCCATGTCACCAAGAGAGTACATTGGCTAAGCCCACTGCTGTACAGGAGTACCAGGATGAAGAAACTGATGTCTTAAAAGCAGTGTTAATGCTTATAAAGCAACGGGGCTTGGATTTGGATTAGGCTTTTGAGGAAAATAATTTCTCTGCAGCAATTTTTGACTGAAGGAAAGCAAACATTCAATGGATTCTCTGGAATGGGAAAGGAGTGACTAGTTAGCTCTACAGTTTTGTGGACAGATCTTTCAAGGGCTTTATTTTTTCATCAGTTTCCCAGCAAAATGCTTAATATTTCAATTTTTTTTTCTTTTGAAACCTTATTTTTAAAAAAAAAATAAATAAGAAGAGACTATTCAGCAAGGTAACCTAATTCCTTCTGCACTGATGTTTGACATCCCGAGTACCTTCAGGACATGTCAAACTTCAGTCATTCTTTCAGGAAAAAGAAAACCAAATTCTGATTTGACCTTGAGTGCAACTTTTGTTTTTGCTACATGCTTTAATGCCTGTCAATACCTAGAATATTCACAGGAAAAACTGCTTTCTTGGATTCGTGAATGATAATTTTTAAAAACCCTCTGGGAGAGTATGTAGAAACATGACAAAATACACAATGTATAGAACTTAATAGAGCTTAAAGGGCCGTATTCCCACTGACTGAAAGGGAATAATATTTGTGTAGATATTTGTTCAGCCAGCTTCAAGTCCCCCAGTAGGAAATATTTCTGGATCTGTGTAGGTAGGTTATTCCCAGGCTTCATAAACTTTAATATTAGAAATAATTTCCTCACATCTAATCTAGGTCTCTCCTGATGTAATCTAATACTCCTTGTTTTACTAGGACAGATAAGGGAGAAGAGTATACTCTCTTATTTTTAGCTACCTTCTACAAATAGGAAAAACACTGTCAGTGTGTGCCCTTTTTCTTCCATATTCACAGTTCATGTTTTCTAAACTTCTAATTTATTTTGGCTCACTCCATCACAAGCCCTCTCTTGTTGCTTTGCATTTGTATTGCTTCTAAATTAATAGCAAAGCAAGTAATTTTGGGATTTTTTTTGACATTCATGTCCCCAGGCTGGACAGAGAGCCTTCAGAGCTGATCAGAGGAGAAAAAAAATACCTCCTAAATCTTCTGCTTTGCAATTTCAGTGTGGTAGGGACCTGTTGTATAGCACAATGATAGAAGTGATCTGTGTTCATTATGTCTGCTACTGAAAGATTTTTCTGAAAACCAAGCAAATAAACAAAGAAAACAATCAAAATTAAATATACAATAAAACTTCCCCAAATGCAGTACTGGGGTTGTTGTTCATCATTCTGTTTTAATAGATCAGATTAAACCTACTGAGTGTGGATTCCTGCAATTGTCTTTACTGAAAAGCATCTAATTTTTTGAACTGTTTCTTCAATGTATTAAAATTGTTTTGAATCAGGTTTCTCAGTGTGTTTGCCTTGCTTCCAATTTGATATTGCCTGCTAAGCTATTAGGAATGTTCTCCACTAACAAAGTTTTGAACAGTACCAGTCTGCAACGCACCACTGTGGTATCAGTTAGTTGTGTCCCTTCTGCATTGGAGCACGTACTTAGCTCTGTACATGGAAGAATTGCTATTTTGTCTATTCTGATGGGAGGCAGTAAATAAAGCATAGTACAGGTAGAACATCAGTAACACCAAGTGATGTATGAAACCAAAGTGAGCCATGCTGGAAAGTACCCAAATCCAGGCTTATTTCAGTAAAGTAACTAAGATTTTTTTTTTTTAAAGCTGCTGCTCAGTAAGCTTAATATAATAAAATACAGCACTGCAAAGGCAGAACAGCTCCTGTCCTTTGTCTTCTTCTCGGGTCCCCTACCCACCATCATCTTCACTGCCTTCACTGCTGCATTTTGCTGTCCTCCACCCTGCTAAGTATTTAACAACCACGTGATATTGCCATATCCAAGTATCATGTATCAATGATTCAAATTAAATATCATTGTGTATTTTCTCTCTCTTTCATTTTATATCTACAGGAAAAGCACAAGTTCTTAGCTGCAAGAAATAAGTTTCCAGATTTAGGTATATATCTAGCTTGTAGTCTTTCCAACTGATAGGCAGAATGAAAATCTTTTTAGTGGTTGTTTAGGTCTCAGATAGGGAATGTTATATATATATTTAGTTACTGTTATTAGTATATGTCATTATTATGTAATAATGGATAATGTGTACTGCGTATTTATAGTTATCTTCATCCTTTTAGTGTTGGTGTTGGGAAAAATCAAGTGAAGTATCAATTTCTTCTTCTTTCTTTACCAGATATAAAGGCCAATTTATTCATTTTAGTTTTATTAGTACAAGATGTTAAAATTTTAGCTTGGCTACCCTGTCAGCATAAGTATTATGTGTTACTGTGGCTGTTTATGCATCTGAAGTTGTGTGTATAAATTTAAACTGCCTCTTGTGCTGGTCATTTTCATTACCTCTTTTATTGCATTTTTCTTCTGTTGTACAGTACATTCTTAATGACCTTTTTGTTCAGTTTATGAGTTCTGTGTGAGCAGACTGCAGGAGACAACACATGGTTTTCTAATACACGGGAGTACTGCATTTTGTAACCACACAAAATAGAAAGCAAAGGGTCACGTTTAGTTCATTACCATTAGTCAAACCATCACCAGGACAATCTGCCTCTCTGTGTCATCACAGCAATGGGATGTCAAAAAGGAAACACCAAAGGTCGCACAATTTTTTTTCTGCTTGTTTTCATTTCTTTCCATCTCCTCTCTTTGCCCACAGACGCAAACACAGGGACACCAGCAATATCAACAACGACAACCGTGGAAATCCGGAAGAGCAGTGTTATGACAACTGAGATCACCTCTAAAGTGGAGAAAATCCCCACAACAGCCACGAGCAGCAGCACTTGCCCTTCCGTTGAGACTGAGGAAGAAAAAGCAAAAAGACTGCTGTACTGTTCACTATGCAAAGTCGCTGTCAACTCTGCCTCACAGCTGGAGGCGCACAACAGTGGTGAGATGGAGCAGTGCTTGCTTGCTTCCTTTTTTTTTCCCCTTCTGTCTCAAGAGTGCTGCAATTATCTTCCCCTGAATAGATTAGATCTCTTGCAGCAGGGGACAAAGAGGTGGCAGAAAACTGGCAATTACATGGAATTCATTAACTGTTAAAGTATAAAAATGACAGGCAAAGAGGCTTTCAAAAAAGAGAAAGAAAGAAATTTATTGCAAGTTGCAGATTTTCTTACACTTTAGCCTTTGCAGCTTCAAAACCTTATTGAGCTAAATGACAGCTCTGCTTCATTACCTTTGGTGCTCAGAGTTTGCATAGTTTTGCTTGTGCCAACTAGCAAACTGAGAATGAATGCCATTAGTTTTGTTTGAAACTTAAAAAATTAAAGGCTGAAAGAGGCAACATCAGTCAGTCAGAGTTCAATGATGTTAGATGTTCTTAGCTCCATATTGTCTGTTAATATATAACTTTTAAAATTATGTATATTTTCCCTTTGTTTTCATCAACTGATAGCAGCTGCTGCATGAGGGTTGAATGGGTAATTGTCTACCTCCATCTTTCTTAGTTTTTGAACTTTATCTTGTCATTAGAGCTAGTAGCATCAGTAAGTTCCTGCTGTACACAGCCATCATTCACAGTCACTAATTTAAGTATGTTATTGATTGGCTCATTGGTGGGTGTGTTAAAAGATCTGGGGATTTGATATGGTGGCAGTGACCACCTATAGCCATCTTACAGAAAGTTACTGATCTTGGATGTCAGGGGCTACCTCTTATCAAGGGCAAGTAGAGTTCAGAGGCAGAATGAGAACCTTAGGTTTCAAATGTAGAGACAGTGATAATATACCTAGAGCAAAATGATCAAAGGTTTTATGATGCAATTTAAAAAGAAATAACTTTGGCATATCTATAGAACCCAAATTAGAATGGAAATTACAGCTTCTTGGCATTTATGAGAAACAAAATTCCATCAGTTTTGAATGCTGTTTACTATATGCCAGATCTTCAACTGGTAAAAGTTCAGCTTCAAGCTGTACCCTTTTAAACTATTTGACTTCATGTAGACTCTAAATATTCTGATCAGGCTGAGAGCCAAAACAGTATTCTGAATATTTAAACACAACCTTCGAAGGTTTTGCTGCCTGTGCTGATAAAATGTGTGCACACACACATGCATTTTTTTTACAAGTCTCTCTGGATGCATACAGCAATTAGCAGTGGAGTGGTGGTTCTGTATGCAGTAGTTAGTCCATTATCATCACAAGACTACCTGTGTGAGAGTCAACAGTGTAAGAAACTGTTCAGTCTGAATAAAGGTGCAGCAAAAGAACACCAGTGTTCTCTATGCAACCTTTATTTACAATTAAAGAAAAAAAAAAAAGGCAATTGTATTTTTCACTCATATATATTTCTCACATGTTTTTTGTTTCCAAGACATTAATGATCCTGGTTGCTTCCAGGAACCTCTGCCCCTTTCCGGTTTGGAGAGTAATTTGTTAATTACAGATTTAATTGTAAGCTACCTAGACATACTGTTTATCAATCTGTTCAGGAGGAATACAAATCAAAGCCAACTACATCTTTAATAGCTAAATTACTTTTCTTTTGCAACTACAATTCAGGTCTTATTAGCAGCAGGAGTTAATGAGAAAAGTCACACACATTTAACTTCACATCAGGGTATCTGATTGTGCTGCTACTTTCTGGTCTAGCTGCTTTGTTCTATGCATTACCTATAGGTATGTAATTTAGTAAAAAAATATCAGGTGTGAAATACTGTTACATTAGTATGACTCTGATACAGACCAAGACAGTCCTATTCCAAGGATAGCACATGGCACCAAGCTGAGGGTCATATGATTTTATTTTAAAAAGAAAATAAAACAACTAATGCAAGCCAATTGCGAAAGTTGTTTCTGTTTTTCATTTCTGTTGTTTCCAGGGACTAAGCACAAAACTATGCTGGAAGCTCGGAATGGAAGTGGAACCATAAAAGCCTTTCCCCGGGCAGGCGTAAAAGGCAAAGGACCTGTGAATAAAGGAAACACAGGCCTTCAGAACAAAACATTTCACTGTGAAATATGTGATGTGCACGTAAACTCCGAGACACAACTGAAACAGGTACTCAGCCAGCTTGTAGAGTGAGAATCTTTGGCTGTTCTTTGTTTTCATGGTGGCAAAGTACCAACACAGTCAGCACATATCAATATAAAAATTTGTGTCCAAATGAAACTCACAGTTTTGTCCACTGTATTTGGCTGCCATGCTGTATGTTTTGTTTTGATTTGATATTCCTTTGCATGGAATATGTCTTCTCAAAAGCTCTCAATTATACACATTTGGTAAAGAGTTATAGAAGGTGTAACAGGTTACAACTGTCTTTAGACTGCTAGAATTGTCCTGAGCTAATAAACGCTGCCATTTCATGTACTGCATATTTGCCTTGACAGAGATGTGAAGGTGGATGTAATCAGTACTTTCACAGAATACTAAGTAACCCACTTAGAAATGTGGGATGGAGAGGATTTCTAATATTTTTATTAATGTTTCACTTTAACTGAGAAGCATGACCTCTAAATTGCAATTACACTGAGTTATGTTCAGTCATTCTTCAGATGATCAAAGCTTTCTGAAAAACAGTTTAATTCCATATGCCTATTGGAATTTAATACTTGTAAAGGAACTTTACAAGAAGATTAATTCAATAATGGACAATAGCAATACCCATCCTTCTGGTCTCAGAGAAAAAAAGTCCAGTTCTATGTATTTTTATTGCGGTAATTCTCTTGAAAATGAAAATCAATGTAAAAAAAAAAAAGAATTCTGAAAAAGGTTCCTTACTGCAAGATAACCTGTGCAGAAAGATACTTGAAAAATCTCATCGATCTTATGAAGAAGATAATGGATTTCATGCATTTTTTTCACTGTCTCTTAGTTTGGTATGTAACCATCTCAGAAGGATCTCCAGGCAGCTTAGGGATTTAAACAATTTTCTGACCTTTTATTCTTCCCCAAATAGGGGATGCTTTACTACCTAATATTCCTTAAAAACTTTCTATCAGCAGTGGATTGAATTTGGTGTGTGATATATAGAGCTAGGGAGGAGTTTTTCAAAGGCTTTAACCTGACTCAAGTCTTGCTGAAGTTAGAAAAGGTGGGAAAATATTTAACTGTAATGGAAGCAGGGCTGAACTTAGGACTAATGAAAATTACAGTCCCAATATGTGGTGCACAAAGGTTCCTTCAAACTTCAAAAGAGCCTATTCCTTTTCATTATTGAATTAGTCAAAGTAATGCTGCTGTAGAGCAAAAGCCTTTCGTATTGGAGCAGTAATCTTGTGTAAAGCAGAACCTGAAGTGATCTGTTGTGGAACTATCAACTATTTCCCTTTGTTTTCTTTCTTCCCCCCCCTCCCCCCCCCCCCCCCCCCCAATATATTTTAACAGCACATAAGCAGTAGAAGGCACAAAGACAGAGCTGCTGGGAAGCCACCCAAACCTAAATACAGCCCTTACAACAAACTCCAAAAGGGAACACATCCGCTAGGGGTAAGCCAATCACCCTTTTTTATTTTACTTTTATTTTAATCCTGATGAATAGGATTTTTCGAAAACATAAGTGGGAAAATATTTAGAAGTAAATTAATAGTGTAAGCCATTGGAGTATCAAGTACAGGAAGGAGCCACTGAAAGCCCACAAGGGATTTTTTTTATATACTTTAAGGCGTGTTTACTACAACCTGTGGATCCTTGCTTTTGTAGCTACTCTGAACAACCTCAGACAATAAGCTTGTTGCAAAGGTCACTAGAGAGCAAGAGACGGAAAAAACCTCCAGATGGCAAACAGGATCTTTCCAGTTTTCACCAAGGACAATAGTGGTGAAATAACTAAATAAAACTCTATGAAACATAAACCATTCATTCTATCGTTATTTAGAGAATTGTTGAGATAACAAGTGAAACAATTAAAAAAATCTGCCTCTTCTTTCATTCGACTGTTTCAGAATGTTTCTGGTCACATTTTCAACTGCCAAGATAAACCATCTGAAACACAATTCTTACTAGCCCCAAAAGCTGAGAATTTTTTTTTTTAATAAAAATCCCTCTAGGATGCTGCCACTAGTTAAGAATCAGCTTATATTGTGGGTGGCATAGTGAAACATCTGATGTTTATCTTCTCCACCAGTTAAACTGCATAAATGAGTCCTGCATTTTGGCCACAATAACCCTCTGCAGCATTATAGGCTGGGGACGGTGTGGCTGGACAGTGCCAGGCAGAAAGGGACCTGGGGTTGCTGGTTGACAGCCAGCTGAACGTGAGCCAGCAGTGTGCCCTGGTGGCCAAGAAAGCCATTGGCATCCTGACCTGTGTCAGGAATTTGTGGCCAGCAGGAGCAGGGAGGTCATTCTCCCACTCTATTCAGCATGAGTGAGGCCACACCTTGAGTGCTGTGTCCAGTTCTGGGCCCCTCACTTTAGGAAGGACTTTGAGACACTGGAGCGCGTCCAGAGGAGGGCAATGAGGCTGGTGAGGGGCTTGGAACACAAGCCCTGTGAGGAACGGCTGAGGAGCTGGGGGTGTTTAGCCTGGAGAAAAGGACACTCAGGGGCGACCTTATTACTCCAACTTCCTGAAAGGTGGTTGTAGTCAGGTGTGGATTGGTCTCTTTCTCCAGGCAGCAACTGACAGAACAAGAGGACACAGTCTCAAGCTGCATCAAGGGAAATATCGGTTGGATATTAGGAAAAAGTTTTTCAGGGAAAGAGTGACAAAGTACTGGAATGGCCTGCCCAGGGAGATGGTGGAGTCACCATCCCTGTATGTGTTTAAAAGACTATATGTGGCGCTCGATGCCATGATTTAGTTGAGGTGTTAGGACTTGGGTTGGACTCAATGATCTTGAAGGTCTCTTCCAACACAGTCATTCTGTGAATTCTGTGAATGCTATATCTGCTGCCTTTGTAGGGTTTTATAAATGGTTCTGGCAGAGGGAGAATGTTGATTCATTGTCCTCATAGAGATTAGCCCTTTATGCCTTGACCATGTTCTCTGATGCAGGCAAAATATGGAGCTTTTTTTTTTTTTTTTTTCCTGTGAAAAACCATTTCTCTTTACATTGAGTTAAAGCTCTTGGCAGCAGAAACTTTCCTTGTTGGGGCAGCCCTCATGAGTGGCATATTCATGCAGGATTCAGTTGTAGAATAAAGCGGTGCACTATTCTGGTAGATCCACTAATAGGGAAATAACCCCATAGGGTTTCTCAGTAATCCACAAGAAAGTTCAAGGTCTTCAATACAAACTATATTGAAAGTAATGGAAAATATGTAATAGGGTAAGTAAGATATGGAATCAGGAAAGCCTTTCTGACAGGATTGCTATTCCTGTAGGAAATTCATTATTTTTCAGGGGATAAAAACTATTACATTGTTGTTCTGGTTTGCACAGCTCTCTACCAATTTATATAATGGTGATTTCTGAGAACTCCAGCCAAGGTTCAAGACAAATAACAGCAGTGTGCCCTCTTCCTTCTCCCTCAATCCCACAATATACAGGTCAGGCTAGAGGGCATCAAAAAGGCAAAAGGGATTTAAGAAGAAGAGAAAAAACTAGCAATAAATGAACAGACATATGTAGTAGAATTGTGGATTCAATAAGAAAGGAGAGACCAGTTCTCCATTTAGTCTTTTTGGTTTTGAATATAAAAACTGCAGGATTTGTTGTCACTTGAAGTGCAGAATAGCACAGCAACAAGCCAACTAGTTTCACCTTTAATTTAATGCTTTTTCTTTACTTTTCCTTTATTCTCTTTCCCTAGCTGAAACCAGGATGCTCCCCATTAATATTTCAAGTTATTTGTCCCTATTTTACTTCATTGGAAATGAAACAATAATGGTTACTTTACTCCTAATGTTGACCTGTGAGTAAATTAGAGGTTATAAATGAGCGTGCAAGGTACTGCATATGTTAAGTATTACTAGTTTTGCAGCTACCTTGAAATCGGAATCATGTTGATAAGTGAACTGAAAAGCTCTCTAACTAGAAGTAATCTAGTAATTTAATTACAACTACCTGATTCCTCCAAGAATGGCAAGAAAGCCTTAGTCTTTTAATGGAAACAGCCACATGAGATCTTTGTTCTTCATTACACAAAATGTATGGACATCATCAAATTTGGCTACAGAGATTTAAAAAAGAACATGCTATATTTTCATGGCTTTTCTAGACCAAAAACCTGATTTTACCATGTTTACAATATCATTTGTACTTCTCTGTCTGTTCTAGATTTACATGCTTCAGAGATAGAAAAATTATACATTCCCACAGTGATATTTCAGAATTTAAGTCTTGTAGCATTGGGACTTGCTTGCTATTTCTTCAACCACACTGTCCAGCATGCATAAAATACTGCACTGGAGAAAAAATGGTTATCAAGCATTTGATAGTCCAAAGTTTCTGCAATAAAATAGCTGTTACAAAAAGCATCCTTCACTGGCAACTCTAAACCAAAGAGTACTTTGTACTCAGGGTTACTTTTTTCCTCAGGGATGTTTTGGGGTTGTTTTGTTTTGTTTATCCTGTTTGGGTGTTTTTTTGGGGTTTTTTTTGTTTGTTTGTTTGTTTTTTGGGGGTTTTTTTTTGGTTTTTTTTGGTTTTTTTTGTTTTGTGGTTTTGTTGCCCTTATAGTTTTTGGTTTGGAGATTTTTTCTATTCTAAATAAGGCTGTAAAAATATTTATTAAAAAATGGAAGAAGGGAGGAAAAAGTCATATATTCAGCAAAGGAAGAAGGCAGCTTGGATCAATGAGCATAACACTGATCAAGGAAAAGATCAGATCATTGCTTTTAATAGGCACCATCATGAATTTTATATCTAGAATCTATTATATCCTTTGTTAAGAGAATTAAAGAATTTGGTTTGATCTGAGTATTTCTCCCAGAGCTTTCAAGGGCCTGGAAGCCAGCAGTTTTGCCGATGGGTTCTGGGAAAAATAAAAATCCTCTATCCATCTGGCCAGTAAAGAACCAACAGACCTTTCGGAATATGGTGATAATGTAATGATGAAACTCAATTGTGATTCATGCCAGAGTACTGCCCTTAATTTCTGATTATTAACTCACTAGGGTTCTGTTGAGTTGAAAATGTCAGTTACTTGAAAATCCCTTTCAAGTCAAGAATGACAAATTTTGATTCCTTGTAAGCAAAATGTGTCCATACTTCCACTGAGATGTACCACAGCATGGTACATATATTCTGCATATTCAATACCCTGTAGTCAGGTTTATGAGCTTTGCAAGAGGCCTCAAGTCGTACTAGGACACAGACCCACCGACAGTCCATCAGAAACAATGGGAACTTTTCTTTGTCAGTAAATGAAGTTTCTAATTTTATCTCAGAGTTATAAAAACGGGACTGCAAAGGTATTCAGGCTCTTGGCATCTCATTAGGAATTTGAAGTTCTACTGAAAATTACAGAAATCTATAGAGACTACTGTGATGGTCATTTGTACGCATCCCAAATGTAAATTTTCTTAAATATTACTAACCTCTTGTGAGTATTTTCAGTCTTGGAGAAACTTCGGGGTTTGGGGTTTTCCCCTTTTTTAGGAAACTCTAAATGAAGGGGCTTTTGATTTGTATTTGGTAGTCCACAAGAAAATCATGGTATGATTTAAAATGTTTTTTAAGAAACCTCAGTGACAGGAACAGAAATATCATAGCTTGGCAGAATACTACTTTAAAATATCTGCCAGGTTTTCACAATCCTTGTAAGAATGAACACAGTCTTAGTGGAAAACAGCTGAATATGCAGCAGAATTATATGGGACAGTACCCATTTAAACATGTGAGACATGAGAGATTTTCATAACTCATGAAAGATAAGATTGGTTTATTTGCTTGTTATTAGAAGCTGGAGTAAATGAAGAGGAGCTATATGGTGTTGCAAGTTGGAGTCTCTCAAAACCATGAAATGCCCCCCCAGGGTCACCACAATGTGGAGATCTTAATTTTAAATAGAACTCTCATCCTAATGATTAAAACAAAAGTATCTTGTAAGACCAGGGAATAAGATATGTTTTCATTCTGCACTGGTCTCTACATTAAACTGTCCAGATGGAGATATATTAATTGATATCTGATCTTTCCTTGTTGCAGGGTACATGCAGCTTTACTTTGGTGCAGATTCCCCAGTCCCATTTTAGATTTGCTTTGATTTCTAATCTCATATTAAATTGTGAGTGTCAGCAATTAGGTGTGAACACTGGAACTCTTTGTCCCCAACCAAATCCTTGTACCTTGTCCATTGGGGAGGTCGTATCACCTGTTACAAGTCGGTAGCTCACAGAGTCAGTAGCCACCTTGAGGCCTCTTTTGCTTGATTCTGCACATATATTCTTATACCAAGCTCCCTCTCATGTAGGTAATATGAAAAAATTATGTCTCTGTTTGTTTGTTTTCTCTTCTTCCCCACAGGTAAAATTAGTATTTTCAAAAGAACCTTCAAAGCCGATGGCTCCACGAATCTTACCAAACCCGCTAGCAGCTGCAGCAGCAGCTGCTGCTGTGGCTGTGAATTCCCCCTTCAGTCTTCGCACAGCCCCAGCAGCCACCCTTTTCCAGACTTCAGCACTTCCTCCAGCACTCCTACGACCAGCTCCTGGGCCTATACGGACCACCCACACTCCCGTGCTGTTTGCTCCTTACTGAACTCCAAACAGGAATTAATTGTACTGCAATAATTTTTCAAATCAAAACAAACAAAAAAAAAATGAAAATCAAGAACATTGAACTATGCAGTGTTTATTTATAGTTTAAAGTATATATGAAGAGCCAGAACTTTTGATAGAGAACTGAACAAATTCTGAAAGGGGGAATGGGTGGTATTTTCTCCAGATAAGAACATTTCTCTTGAGCATTGATCGTTTTAGAACTGATCTCCAGCATTGACTTGTAGTGACATATAAAACTTACAAAGCCTTTTGACTGTGCATTTTGGCACATATTTCCCTGCAATGTCTTTCCTGCTTTATGAAACAACTTACAAATTTGTCTAAAGGGCATTAACTGGTTCCAATGTATATAAAATACTTTATTCTGTAGATTAAAGAAGAAGGAAAAAAAAAAAAAGAAACACTGTGAATAGTAGTACCCTTACCAATCCTCCTGCCAAATCAGCAGTTACTGGGTATTTATCTGAACAAAAGTAGATACAATAGATGTCTTGTAAAACAGTAGTATTGTGTCTCTATCTATGCCACTAGGTTTCTAACTGAGTTGCAAAAGACAAAATGAACAAAATTATGTCACTTTGGTAAGTAGTCAAAAATTATTACAATAACGTGGAGCTGTTCCTTGTGAGCAAAGTTTTCCTCACTCACATAAGAATGAAAATTATCTAGGTTAGGGCAAAGAAAGTGATAAATAGGATCTAGTGTGGGAAAAATAGTTCAGATACTGTACACAGCAGAATGGGTCAAACATTTATTTAACTGAGAATGTATGTGTACACTGTGTGTTTAATCAAAAAGTGTAATACATACATGATAGATCAATGTTTAAGACATGACGGTGGAAAACAAAAAATATGATCTTGTCATGAAACAGGCCTGACACTTCAGTGTTGAGCAGAGGGAAGACACAAACCAGTTACTCAGAGTCATAACTGACAAATGAAAAACAGGAGAGAAATCCTGGTCTCATTTAAGTCAGTTTGAAGTTCCTTCTGACTGCAGTGTAGCCAGAATTTCATCCCAAGAATGGCACATATTCATTTTATATCACACCAGTGGGAGTGTCTGTAGATACAGGTAATATTTTTTGCAATAGGCTTAATCTTAGCAACAGACTTATTCCCTTGTTTTATTTCCTACTGATGTGGCATAAAATGTCTTAATATACCTATAAAATGTAAACAGTGACACATGAGATACATATTACGAGATAACTGCACATCATGGGTTTGGAACAAATACAACTTTTAGGATCTCAAGGGACCCTTGAATTCTGTAGCTGACCATGATGTATGGACAGCTTAAAGCCTTATATATTTACTGTGAGGCTTAAAGGGGTTGACTGTGTCCCTTTAAAGTAAGATTTATCAGGGGTATATATAGATATATTGTATATATGTTAGAGTAAGGAAAATAACTTATAAACAGAAAATCTACTATATAAAATAATTATATAACCATTGATTTCACATGTGGGTCATTAAGTGGTAAGTAACAAACAACAGAGAAAAAAAATAATCCTTGCTGCCTGCTTTTTCCCATAGGGAGCTGAAAAGTATCTATTAATATTATGGAGTGTGCTGCTGAGTCACATGCAACCACTCTGATGTGTAGCTAAGTGAAATGCCTACCATACATTTAGGCAGAATAAAATTTAAAAGCATAATTTAAGTTTAGATGGGAAAATTATTTGAAAGATTTCATTAAAAGGCAGTAATGCAAAATATTGACCATGTGGTTGCTATATATAATGCTGCCTGTGGTTAATGCAGACAGGTGGGAGATATAGAGGATGGGAATATACAGCACTTTTGACTTGCAGTTCATCAGTGAGCCTTCCATATACATTTGTATTTGCCATTTTTTAAACCTCTCCGCATTTAGATTTTATAAAAAATATATAAAGAAAGAGAAAGAAGAGGTTCCATGGATATCTGTGTCCAAAGAATTCCAAAGAGATGCATTTATTTATCTAGAAGCATTAAAATAAGTTCTGTATTATGCATTTGTATTTCATCCAGTTTATTTGCAAACGTTTGTGCCTTGAAACAAAATGAGCTTTTGTTTATATTTAATTCACACCTATGTAGCCATGAAAAAGACATGATGATGATTCCAGGGCTAATTACCAGCTGGATTGCTTTGGCCTAATTTTCAAAACAACAGTATGAGTAAGTTCCTGAAGCCAAGTTAAGACATGTAAATAACTAGGGGCTGACATTTAAAAGGGCTCTCTACTCTACAGCTCCCAGTAAAGAGGCAGTAAATAAGCAAGCCTTCAAAACCCGTTCCTCACACTCAATTTAGAAATTTTTTCATTTTATTTGGGTACGTGAGATAGTAAGATTCAGTGGACTTGGTCTTTTAAGCCTGCTTTCAACCTTCCATCTGTTTGCAGAAGCTGTAGTGCCATTGCCAGCTGCGTTCAGATTCCTCCTTGAAAAGGGCAGCAGCTTTCAAGCTGCGCTCCATGAACCACCACTTGTTTCCAGAGCCTTTTGTAAGAGCCTGTGTAAGTAAGATCTTGCTAAAGGAGCAGAGGAGTACTCACATTTTGGGAAGGTAGATCGCCTTCTTCTTGGTAGAAGGCAGGCGATCTTTTCCCCATGAGGAAGGAGGCAGATGGGAAAATGGGAGACAGACAAGTATCCTGAAGGCTCTTATTTACAGCCTTCTGGTGCATGGACACCTGCTGTCCATCCTGCCGTGTTGTTGTGATGCCATCAAAATCAACAGGCTGATCCTTCCCAAAATGTGACCTGTGGCATGTATGGAGGCACAGTACTAAGAGCAGAGTTCATACAAATTTTGCTAGAAATAAAAGAGTGTCATTCCCACTACTTACATCAGCTAATTTGCAATGACACCTTCAGTTTTCTTGGACCTCTTTTGTCACAGTGCTCTATGGAACAAGTTTTTGTTCACACAAGTCTCTTTTAAAGTTCAGCTGTAAACAACAAACTCAGTTCTTTTTGTCTCTTACTCACTACCTAATAAAGGATAAAGCCTAAATGTTAGAATGTATAGTGGATTTTCTGTGCCTTGCTGCTCCACCCACCTCTCGGTCAATAACAAGCCAACATAGCCAGGACATCAGCATGACAATTCTATTATACTATTATTGATATATATATAGGTATATATATATATATATATATGTATAAAATGTGTCAAGAAAGATACTGGCACAGCTATCTAATGGGGCAAAGAGAACTTCTGGTCAAGGGTATGTCCACAGCAGATCACAGGGGAGGTAGCAAACAGAAGACACTTTACACCTACTTGTCAATAGATCCAGTGTGGAGAGCACTATTAAAGAAAAAAATGCCATCATATTTCATGTTACCATAGCACTCCAGGGCCAAGAGGAAGCCTAAAGCACAAGGAAGCAAATAATTTCTTCGAAGACACAGTCACTCACTGGAATAAGAATGTGAAATCAGCCTGTGGGGAAGTGGCTGGGTCATGAACTCAGAAAAACAATCAGGTTCAGGGATGTTTTTTTAAGTTCTATTCAAAGTGTTAAGGAATAACTATTCTGTTTAGACCCAAAGAGATCGTATTTTTGTGGGAGGTATATATATATATATGTATTTATATTTTTATGCTATCTGCATTTTCCCAACTACCTATGGCTTCAAACCTTTGTTCTGAAGGATCATCATTGCTCTGAACCATAAAATTAGTTACCTTCTTGAAAACTGCTGTAAAAGCTGATGTGAGAAGTCAGTAAGAAAATGGTACAAATATGATGATCTAAAATGAAAAAAAGGACTGACCATGTCAAGAAATATTGTATTTGAAAAGTATACATCTTTATTTTAAGATAAATTATATAAAATTAAGAATAGTTAAATAAAGTTAATATTACTAGAAGAATTACATCTGTCATTTTAGTACTGAAATATTACAATTGGCTCTACATTTTAAAAGTTTAAAGGACTTTTCTAGATGTCAAATCAATGCAAGGATGCTGTTGGTAAATTTTATGTCTCACTTCATTATCTTCCATTTACATCAGGAATACCATAACTGAATGGACCTGCCTTTTGTCACTTTTATTTAATTGCCAGAGATTCAGTAGCATATTGACCCCGTATTCCCTGAAAAGTGAAGTCATGCTTAGAAGGCCATTTCTGTATTTTACTTCCCATAAACACATAGTTTTTAGAGTTCCTTCAAAGTATCCTGGGGAATTTCTAACTCCATATCTTTTTTTAGCAAAAATAAATGTCATTTTATGAACATTAGACCAACACTGAGGAGCATGATCTAAAAAGGTTTTGACAACTGTAACATTCTTTTGGGTAGATATGAAACGCAGACACTCAAATTATTTGGTTGCACCAATCTTTTTGAAAACATGTGAAATCAGAACCTAGACTACTTTATAAGTAAGTGTCCTGGTTTTGGGGTTAACTCACAACAATAAGAGTCTTTCTACTAACAGGTGTCTGAATTTTCTTTTCTGAAACTGACCAGCACAGTTCAAGCTTCAAGACTCTAAGCTCCCAAAACTCTCAAGAAAATAAGAATGGGTTTCCTGTTTATCAAGATGCATGTGAAAGTGTGAGCCTGTACTATGTAAAATGTTAAGTATATTTTTGACATCATGTCTTCTCCTGTTGTCATTGTTTATCTCTAAGTGCCATTCCTTCAGTGCCAATGAATCATACAGAAGCTTCTGTGCTGGAACTCCGTACGTGACTGAAAGAAACAGTAATACTGATAAATCCTATCTTAAACTAGTTGAAATCTCAAACACACAGTGGAGGGTTTAGCCAAGGACAAGAGCTTTATGGCCTCTCACTTCTACAGGTTTATTAAAATTCAGGACCATTTTGGAGTAAATGTAACTATCTGGAAGATGATTATTGCACAGCCTGACCTGAAATGTCAGCAGCTGAAAGAGTCTGTGCTGCAGACCAAAATTAACAGTGGTATGAAAACCATAATGCTCTTAACTTTGAGCCTCCTGGTAGCAGTTGCAAAAATCTTTGATTTCAATAGTGGCAATTTTTTGCTCTTAGTGGACGAGGCTTTTTGCAGTCATGCTGTGTACTGCAATTAGGTGTCATTCAACTCTGATTCTGTATTGATACTTTGATAAAGAAACTTGG